CACTGAATATATGTCTTTTTGATATTTTGAATAATAAAATGGAAAGTACACATAAAGCACTTCTGAGTAGGATGGTTGTCTCCAGGAAAAGCATTTCTGTGATGTGGGGGTGAACTGAACTTTTCCATGGACTACTATTATACTTAAAATATGACTGAAAGATAAACTATGTGTATTCAGAATTGTATGTTTGGCAAATATTTTCCTAAAAATGAAGGAAATGAGCCTGTCACTTTAAGGAAAACTGAAGATATTTCTTACCAATGATAAAATCCAGTCTTTCAAGAAAAATTGGAAAAACAGAAAAATTTGTCTTCCATTGCAGCTTGAAACATCCCAGTATCTGAGGAAATTTCCTATAATACCAGTGGTGACATTAACAAATGTGATTTTTATTTATATTATATAGTGGACTGTTTCAGCATTTGGAAAATTGACATAATCCAGTAAACCAACATTTTCCAAATGATCAATCCATGATTTACAAAATCATGCATGAGTAGCAGATTCATTAAAAATGGAAGATAAACCAATGGATTTTAATGTAACAGAACTCATGAAAAAAAATCACTACCTCAATTTCCACAATGCAACTAACCTTTAAGTAACTAGCACTTGTTAAGTTTGGGTTTAGTATCAAAGAAAAACATCACAATTATCTGCAAAGGCCACCGAAATACTCTTCCCCTTTCTAACCACGTATTTGTGTAAGGCTATATTTTCTTCATATCTTTCAACCAAACAACATATTGCAACTGACTGAATGAAGAAGCAGATATGAGAATCCAAATATCTTCTTCTCAAACAGACATTAAAAATAAACCCATAACGTAAAACAATGCCACTCTTCTCACTAAATATTTTCTTACTTTGGAAAATACAATGTTTTTTTCACTAAAAAAATGTTTACATATAATAAGTTTACTTTTGTTATTTTAAATGAATTGATAAATGCTTTTAAACTTTTTGTTTTCATTTTTAATGTTATAAATTGTGATAAAGAATAACCTACATAAACCAAAGTTTCTATGAATCATCAATAATTTTTAAATATGTAGTCTTAAGACCAAAAAATCTGACAACTTTTTGTCTAAATATAAAGTGATACAAGACTATAATAGAGTAATGGCAGTCCTCTATAACTGGAAATTGAAGAGAAAGACTCAAATAGAAATGAGGATCCATATTTTAAGAAAGATATTTAGGCCTATGAATCACTTAAACTAGCTGTGTTTATGAATTACTCAAGAGAGTTAACTGAGTTGGACTCATAGATACCATCTTCAGGTCCTTAAAGGAATCAGGCCCTTTGAGGTCAGTTTTTTGCTATTAAGTATACTGTAATATTTCCTGTAATTCATCTTGCTAATCTTCAAGCCACATACAACAAGATATAAAAATCCAAAAGGTGAAGGATAAATACTTTCAAATACAAAGGAACATTATTCAGCCATAAAAAAGAATGAAACCTTGTCATTAGTGACAAAATGGGTGGACTTCGAGAGTTTTATGCTACGTGAAATAAGCTGGAGAAAGGAAAATACTGCATGATTTCACTTATATGTGGAATTTTGAGAAACAGAACAAATGAACAAACAAAAGAAAACAGAAACAGATGCAGAGACAGAGAACAAACTGCTGGTTGCCAGAGGGAGGTAGGGGGACAGGCAAAATGGGTATAGAGAAGAAACTGGAACTTGAGGTCCTTTAATACTATATATTAAGTGTGGTATCAATTTTTTATTTGTATAACAGCTTTTCCCTGGGTTTCTCAAGGCTGTCCTACAATATTTGAAAGAGAAATTGAGTTTGCCCTGCATTTTCTCAAATTTTATTTTGAATAGATAGGAGATACTGAGATATAGATGTTAATATAATTTAAGGAAAGACTTGCATTGATGTCCAGAAAACCCTGCATTCAAAATAGAAATAATAATTTCCTTAATGAAACTTGAGAAAAAATAATAGAAAAGGAAAACATCAAATATCAGTTAAAAATATGTAGTTGAAGCCCAGAGTTCAAATACCTACTTGATAGAATAATTGTATATTTATAAAATAGAATGAAAAAAATGATGTTTCTAGAGAAGGACAATGGGAATTTGTACTCTGTGACAGTAATTCTAAGAGAAAAGTCCCATGGCCAGTCCATATGTCTGTTCATTTAAGTCCTGGCTAGTTAATAGAATATACTGAATTTGAAAGGACAAATATTATTATTATATTCATAAAAGAGGTTTTTTTTTCAAGCTGTACCATTTAAAAATCACCCAGATTATTTTAGATGATATTATTGTCTTACTGAGTTTGGGCTGCTATAACAGAAATAACATAAACTGAGTTGTTTATAAACAAGAGAAACTTATTTCTCAGTTCTGAAAGCTGGAATTCCAAGATCGGAGTGCCAGCATGGTCAGGTTCTGATAAGGGTCTTCTTCCATGGTGACGACTGCCAAACTGCTCTTTTCTCATTGTACCCTCAAATGGTGAAAAGAGAGCTAGAGAATTTTCTGGAGTTTCTTTTATAAAGGTAATAGTCCCATTCTTGAAGCCTCAACCCTCATAACCTAATTGCTTCTCAAAGACCCTATCTCCTAATACCACCACATTGGGTGTTAGGATTTTAACATATGAATTTTGGAGGGACACAAACATTCAGTCAGTAGCATTTATGAAATATATGCTAATTATATCTCAATTAAATTAACATATTATATATGTACATATACTATATATTTAATACATAGAGAAGGAAGGAGTCCACTATTAAACACTATGTAGTGAGCAGGCCTGCCCTCAGGAATCATATTGTACAGTATATAAAGCTGGGAGGGTAAATAAAATATATAAAGTCAGAAGCAGGCATACAAAAGATGACAGAATCACAATTCCAAAAGATTTTGTTAGATATGAATCATGAACTAGATCTAACGAGATGTAATTTAAAAATTAAAAATCTACTTGTACTCAGATCTCTCTAGACAACTATAAATTTATAGGAGAAGAAAACCATAACTTACAAGGTATGAGAAGTCAGCTCCTGTGTTCAAAAACAATTGTATCTATTTTAAAACTCCAGCACCTGACCCAAAGTAGATCTTTAATAAATATCTATTGAACCCATTTGGATCATGTTTAGAGAATGTTGTCAATACTAAACCTCAGGAGTGTCAAGAAAGCAATGTGACTTCAAAAAAAAAAAATGTTAATGGGACTTTCCAATACCTATGTTGGTAGAAAGAGAAGTTATAATCTTGCTCAATTTTTATTGGTCACGCCAATTTAGGGTATTGTTTTTAGTTTTGGAGCTGTACCTTAAGAACAGACATAAAAAAAAAGAAAGAAAGAAAAAAAAGAAAAGAACAAGAACAAGAACAAACGTAAAACTATAATGTGAATAGGAAAAAGGGAAGTCTACTGAAAAATACCAAAACTACATTTTATAAGAAACAGCCAAAAGAAACTAATATTTAACTTGCAGAAGAGACTACTTAGTTATTTTCAAATATATGTAATGGAGGAATAATAAGCTATCATTTATTAAATAACTACTATTGTATACCTCATTTAATCCTGCTAACACAACTATGAGGTATTATTAACACTTTTTTGCTGATAAGAAAACTGTCACTCAGTGAGATAAAGTAACATATTCAAACTCACACAGCTAAAAAGTTATAAATCCAAAATTCACAAAATGATTTGAGCCCAAGACCAGGGCTTATTACATTGTGCTTATTTGTCTTTCACACAAAGTAAGCTTACACTGGTTCTATTTGTCCTCAAGAGACTAAATAATGCCAGACAGATTTCAGCTCAATGTGTGTGAATTGATATATTAGTTCATGGCAAGGTATTTTTACTAGTCCTTAGGAGATCTCTATGAACTTTTATTGCTAAAATTATACCCTTTAGTGTAAAAGGATAAAAATAATACTCAAAATTGGCAAAGTAACCTATGATTAATGGAGTTTACCTATGAGTAATCTGTTTTCAAGAAAATGGTAAAAATCATATTGGAATTAAGTGTTCTTTCCAAGCTCCCTAAGCTACTCCTCTCCCTATTCCCCAAGAGTATTGCTTTCTACAACCAATTGGGGATATCTAATACCAATGCATATTGTTAAAAGATATATACATACACAAATACACTTACAGTTATGAGATTTACTTCAGAATTAGTGTTAACTTACCGAGAAAACAAACAAACAACAACAACAGAAACATCTTATCCCTGGTTGATTTACAAATTTATTTCTAAAATAGAAGTATTTGGGGTCTTAGAAATTATGTATTAAATTTTAAAATGTATCAATATTTCTCAACCTTGTGTGGGCCACTCCAGGTCCAGATGTTTATGAAATTCCTCCTGGAATCTCTACACTAGAAAATAGACTGCAATAATGCAAATGTTTGATTTTGACCACCTTCTACTGAGAAGCACATGTCCATGTAGGAAGTCCGGCAATAAAAGGGATAATAAATAATTCTAAACTGATCTTTGAGATTTAGATGTGGAGGGTCACCATTATCCTTCGTTGGCTGTCCTGGATGCCACAACCACCTGATTTCTGTAAACCAGTTCTTATGCCTCCTCCCCACCAAGATAGAAATCAGATGTAACTAGAACTTCTACTTTAAGACAAATTAGGGGAATATGGAGTGAAATGAATAGGTTTCCTACACAAAAGTTTGTTTCTCACTTCTTTTTCAGAGAAAGGACCACTTTTGTTTCAGACAGGTTTAAAGGGTTGAAAATTCTCATTTAGCGATGTAAAAAACACGGTTACTTTTGTGTGGACGTGCAGGCAAGGCGGACTAAAGAAAAGGAGTTTGTGTACCCTGTCCTGAATGATTTCAGCAGACTTGAGGGCTGGAAGAACGTTGGGGTGTAAGGATTGTCCGGGTTGCACCAGGCCAATGTCTTTCCTTTCATATTATACAGAGAAAACGGCGCTGGGAAAATAGATTGATGTCAGCCCCCTTTCTTATGCTTTACTGCTGCCGAGAACTAACTCTGTCTCCCCCGCCCCTTCCCTCCAACTCCTTTCCCCAATCTGCCCCTCCTTAGATGTGTTTGCACAGACGAGTGCCGAATGGGGAGACAGACCAACTCGTTGGATCGCTTTGCGCAAAATCCACCCCTTCTCTCTCCTCCCTCCCCTCCAGCCTCCGGATCCCGCACAGCCCTCCCTCCCCTTCCCACAGCAGTGTGGGTTTGAGGATGTGTCTCTACTACTAAGGCGGAAGGGGGCTACAAGCAGTGGGTAATGTCAGATGCCCAGCTCTCCCCTTCTACCTAAAGCTCCTCTCTGGCTGCACCAGGGTTAGTCTGTGTAAGAAATAGCAGGAACTGTGGCAGCAGCGAGAAGAAGCGGCTGAGACGCGTGGAACCTGAAAAAGTCTGGGTGCTCGGGTTTACCTCATAGCGAGGTCCCAGCCAGCCGTCAGCACCATGGACAGCAGCACCGTCCCCACCAACGCCAGCAATTGCACTGATCCCTATACGCACTCTTCAAGTTGCTCCCCAGCACCTAGCCCCGGTTCCTGGGTCAACTTCTCCCACCTAGATGGCAACCTGTCCGACCCATGCGGTCCGAACCGCACCGAGCTGGGCGGGAGCGACAGCTCGTGCCCTCCGACCGGCAGTCCTTCCATGATCACGGCCATCACCATCATGGCCCTCTACTCCATCGTGTGCGTGGTGGGTCTCTTCGGAAACTTCCTGGTCATGTATGTGATTGTCAGGTAAGGAAGGCGCCAGGGCTCCCACCAGAAACTTCAGCAGCTAATAGGGGCATAAAGGGACAACTGACCCCCCAGGAAGTGTTTGGCGGGAGGATGAGAGAAGGGAAGTAAACAAGGGAGAATAAGGGGGCGACGGTGATAGAGTGGTTATTGTGAGTGCAAAAATCCACTTTTCTCTTTTTCCCTCCGCTGTTAAAAAAAGAATCAAAAATTTCAGAAACAGAGAAGTTGCATTGGTAGAAGATGTAAAGCTCTGGGAGGAAAAAAAAATGCTCTTAGAGTTCACTTACACTGAGCCAAGAGGGCTCTTGGGCACAGAATCCCACAGTCCCTTTCACAGGAGCTGTGGAAACAGTAATTTGTGAATAAGGAAGAGGAATTTTAGTTAGATTTCCTGATGAGGGGGTCAATCCCCTTCTCAGTTCTTTTCAGACATGAACCTTGGCAACTTTCCTACCCCTGCTGGTTTCCATGTACTTTACTGTACCATGCCACCCCCCCCCATTTGCTTGTCACACTTGTCCTTACCCCACCGTTCTTCCATCCTGAGGCCACACTCAGTGAGAAAGTTTTTCTGGGGTCTCTCTACAGTAAATAGTGTTGCTTTGTAGTAACAAATGTGACAGTTGTGTTGCTTGGACCATTTTGCAGTTGGCAGCTGCCAGATCTGCTAGGAGAGTCACAAACTGAATTGGGAATAGATGATGTGGTTTAGGAGAAATACAGGGCATGACTGTTTTTGAAATCCTCTGAAAGTGGAAGCCAATTAGAAGTGACCAAAAGCAGCATAATTCTGGAGTATAAACCATTATATAGGAAGTTACAGTGGTTGTTCTGGGAGGAAAAACTGCCTTTATCAGTGATATTATTTCAAAAGAGTTTGTGGCCCATTTTCTGTTTACCTAGATGTTCCAGGTTTATTTGGCAAAGAATGTGCAAGCTTTCAATATTAACTATGTTAGTGTTGGTGTGCATATTCAAATCCTACATGCTAATAATGGGATACTGTATATTCATTTTTGCTAAAGTAGATAAATATTTTAACACTTTAAAATAGTTTCTAATTTGGGATTTTCTTCCTACTCAGGGTTTATGTACGTAGTGAACATGGCATTTTCATACTTAGTTATAATATTTACTTCATCTATTCAGCAAGTACTGCAGGTTTTAATGGAGTTCCTTAATCATTTAACAATCATTTTTTCTATTATGCTTTCATGATCAAGTTCTGCGAGTTGCTTGTAATTGATTATTTCTTGTATGTCTGATCTCCTTAATTAATGATTGTTACTAATTTCTCTAATCTTTTGATGAGGAATAAGATAAGTAGTGTCTCTGAGAAAAGAGCACCATCTATTGAGAAGAAGGCTAACAACAGAAGGGAAAGTACAGGAAGGAAATCAATGGAAGAATTTATTTTTGAAAACATTTACCGTGTATAATCTAATACAAAGACTCATATCAAAGATAAAAGCCGAGTCTCACTTACAGTTATAATAAAAATCATTATTAAAGTTCTGCCTTATGAAGAGAAAATATGTTTCTCATTCATCCTAAGAAAATTCATAGAATCAAAGCTGATAGGGCTAGAAGGGAACCTAGAGTTTACCTATGCCAGATGAGTAAACTGAGGCACAGAAAATATCAGTGATTTATTCAAGGAGAGATAGTTCTTTAGTTCAATAATACTGTATTAGTTCAATATAATATCTATTTTAGCCAATACATTTTTCTTATTAGAGTAGCAAATCATGATTTAATTCAACTAAAATATTGACAGAGTAGATTCAATTAGCTGTAATAATGTGGAAATAATAAAGTACCCCAAATTTATGTCTGGAATCCTGGAGAATAAAGGATTCTACCTTTACCTCTACAATACCAAAGTGTCTGGAAATCCTGCTGTCTGAAACATAATCCTTTATTCCCTTTTATTGCTTCTCTTGGTATTGTCCTTCCTTATTTTTCTCCCCTCTAGCTTATGCTTTTCTATAAAGAGAGAGCCAATAAAGCAGCAACTGGCTGTGAAATAAGAAGATTGGTCCTATTTCAGTGTTTAAGAGATTACTGGTTGATTGAGTTTGTTTTAAAGGCATTACTTCTGACCTCTTGATGACTTGGAGAAGGATAGTGACATTGCATCTTAGTGAGAACATGATATTATGCTTTATTTCTCTGTACTGAAATTTCGAACAAAGTGCAGTATGATTTGAAAGGTTACCCCAAACATCCATCTATGACAAGTTGGGTGTTTAATTCCATAGTCAGGTAACCCTCTGAGAATATGACTGCAAAACAGAAAAATGGACAGTTCAGTGACCAATGAAGTAATGAAGAAAGCATTTGGGGATTGAAGAAAATATGTTTATTTAGCTTAGAATATTTAACTGGACTGTCCAGGCTGTGGTGTTTTCACTACAAAATGATAGTTCAGAGATATTATTGCCCCTGTTAAAAAGATGACTATAATGCTACATCTATTAAATTATTGAGGTGAAATGCTCACTTCCTGCTATTATTTAAAATTCAACAAATACTTTTGAATGGTAAAGTGCAGTTAATGGTCAAGTTACACTCTTCTATCCAGATTAAGGTGATATTTATTAGAACGTTTTAATACATCAAATGAATTATGAGTCTCAGATGACTATAGCAACCAAACCAACAACAAAAGTAAGTGGTAATACAGATGCCATGATTAATACTTTTCTGCTCTGTGTCTCAACTCCATCATCATTATACCTTCAACAACAACATTATTAAATAGTATAACTTAAGTAGGATTCTTACACAGTGCTGTTCTAAGGAACATAAGGGAGGAAAAGAGATACCATCATATGATCCAAAGATTTAAAATCCAGATGTTAAATGATAAAAATGTTATAACTATTCACCAAATGAAAACTTTTTCAGTTTTAAAGAAAATAATATTTGCAAGATAATAATATTATAAAAATTACCACAGAGTCTAAAGAATATGGAGATAAAACATTATAAAATGTGGCAATTATTTAAAATGGGATGATACTTTACTATTGTCAAGAATGTTTTCTAGGGGCACTTGACTGTCTTAGTCAATAGAGCACACAACTCTTAATCTTGGGGTTGTGAGTGCAAGCCCCACGTTAAGTGTGGAGATTACTTAAAAATCAAACCTTTAAGAGAAAAAGAATGTGTTTTTTTTTAATTAACCAAAATAGTACACAAAGTTATAGCCACCAGGAATGTTTCACTTTCTGAGAACACTTGACCCAAATATAGAATTAACCATAAATATAAAAACTGATATTGCCCCACATATATTTATTTTGTGAGATTTTCTTCCAAAGATTTGTCCATATAGTCATGAATATGGCCTTTGCACACACTGTTTAAAAAAGTAGAGGGTTGGAAACCGTTAGATCTTTATGAGCTGTGTAAACCATCCTTCCAATAAATTACCAATGAAGAGTGCCAAATGATATTGCCTTCATTTTTCAGATTATTTCTTAATTTGACTAGATGAATTCTCAATGTGTCTAGTTATCAGAGCAGAGCACTTAAATATATGCAAGATTTTATTGTCATTTTTCTTTCACTAAAAAGTATTTCTCATTTTAAAACACTTGTTCTATATACTAAATATTTGATTTAGGTTTAAGCTGCAAAGTGATCAGTCATGCCTGATTGGAACAGAACTACAAGCTTTTTTACTTCATATATAAGTTGCTGGGAAAATAAGGAATAACAATATTTATCTAAGATTATATATATTGTATATATATACAAATACATATATACATATGAATTAATTTCAATGCATATGTCCCTGAATATGATCACTAGTAATTTTTATAAAATAAAAAAGAAAGTTGTTTATTTAGAAAGCTCATATACAAACAAAGCTCATTTTCTTTTTTTTTTAAACTATAAAATATCCTAGTTAGAAGACGGATTTAAAGGGAAAAAAAATCCTGCTAAATAAAATCTGTCCTTTACATAATGGTTTACATGAAAACCTAAGAATTTAATTGTATTCCTTTCACTTCACAATGGAGAGCTTCTAGTATCATCTATTACAATTTCAACTTTAACTGCTATGTCCCATACAGATGCTAATTCTGTCAGAACAGTCTTCTTCAGTGTGCCCCAGAAAATAAAAGTTGCTTTTCATTTCCTCAATTGTAAGCTGTGTCTGTCATTTACATAGTGTTATCACTCCTTTCTCTCCTTTCTTTCTTGAAAGAATGAGCTATCTTATATTTTATGAAATATTTCCAACATAAAGGAATGTATAGAGAGTAATAGAAGATTCTTCACCTTTAAAAATTATATATAATTATACAGCACCTGGGTGGCTCAGCCTTTAAGCATCTGCCTTCCGCTCAGGTCATGATCCCAGGGTCCTGGGATCAAGCCCTGCATCGAGCTCCCTGCTCCATGGGAAGCCTGCTTCTCCCTCTTCCACTCCCCCTGCTTGTGTACTCTCTTGCTGTGTCTCTCTCTGTCAAATAAATAAATAAAATCTTTAAAAAAATTTTAAAAATAAAAATAAAAATTATATATAATTATAATTATATATACTTCTAGTAATATATGTTATATATTATACATAATAATATCCATTATTTATATAATTATATAATATATAATACATAATTGTATATATACAAAATAATGTGTGATTTATAAATTATATTACATATATATAATATATATATAAGAAGTTTCCTCTCATCTCCTATTATACTGTCTCCCCAGAGACTATTACTATTATAAATTTGGTGGTTATTATTCATGCATATTTTTAAACTTTTATTTCTGATGTCTGTTTCCACAAACAAAATATAATCTTTTAAACATGTTCTTTGAACTTTACATATTAAACATTTATATTTTACATTAATGTTAATTTAGACATAATTTCACTATTTTCCCAGAGTTGTTCTAGTTCCAGCAGATCAATGATAGAAACAAGATGTCAAAGAACTAGCCCTCCTTAATACTTTTAACTTATCTCT